TTCTTCTTCTTCTTCTTCTTCTTCTTCTTCTTCTTCTTCTTCTTCTTCTTCTTCCTCTTCCTCTTCCTCTTCCTCTTCCTCTTCCTCTTCCTCTTCCTCCTCCTCCTCCTCCTCTTCTTCTTCTTTTTTTTTTTTTTTTGAGACGGGGGTTTCTCTGTGTACCCACACTGGCTGGCCTCGAACTCACAGAGATCTGTTTGCCTCTGCCTCCCAAGAGCTGGATTCCAGCTCAACTCTCTGCTTTAGAGAGCAAAGGTTGGTTTATTTATACATGCTGGACAGGTAGACTCATAACAGTTGAGTTTATTGATTTTTTTAAAATTTATTTCATGTCCATGTGTTTATGTGCATGTCAGGGGGCACACATGGAGGTCTGAGGTCAGTTTTCTCTTTTATTGTGTGGGTTCCAGGGTTCTCATTCACATCCTGAACTTTCTCCCCAGACCTAAGGTTTCTAAGCTTAATTGGCTTTATTTTCAATTTTAGCAGCTTTTTAGTGGGCCAAGATGTATGGTACAGGCAGAAAAGGCCTGGAAAGCAGAGTCAATAAAATGTAAATAAATCAGTCATTAGAAAGTTATTTCCTTTATGGCAGAGAAGGGAAATCAGCATAGAAAAATAATTGATCTCATGAAGTCATTTTTTTCCTTGATGTTTTGTTTCTTTTTCTCGGGGAAAGGATCTCAGGAATCCTAGCTGGCCTGGAACTCACTGTATGGCTAGACTGGCCTATCATTTGTAGCAATCCTCCTGCCTCAGTATGCAAGGTGAGGATTATAGATAGGAGTCCCTACTGACAGCTAGGTTGCTTCTTTGTGTAAGGATTAGAAGTGGGGGGGCATGGGGTGGAGGATTCTGTGTTGTGCTAACTGAAGCTGGCTTGTTTGGGGTGGGGTGCAGTTCCTGGTATTTTTCTAATCCAGATTTTTCAGGAGGTCAGACCAATCAATAGCTTAGTTTCAGATGGGTGTGAATGACTCCACGTAGATTGTTAGTTTGGTCTTTTGAGAAGTAGGGGAAGTGCTTAGTCCAAACAGTGGTCTCCTGTGGTTTTTATTTAACACTTGTTTATGGAAGTGTTCTTGTGAAATCCGAACCTGGTCTCCTATTGTTGATTCCTCTGGTTTATTCTCACTGACCTCCTCCTCCTCCTGGGGATTTAGCTCGGGCTTTCCTCCCGTCACACAGGCTGTCAACCTCTGAGTTAGGTCAGCCCTTTGTTTTGTTTCTGTTGCACTGTCTGGTTTGGGGAAGATAGTAGAGATGAATGCTAGCATTCTGTGTCTAGGGTGGGCATGGCTTCTGGTAGGCACACTAGTTCAGCTGAGTTTATCCACATATCTGGGCACACATCTGTGTCATGTGTGGGGCCTTGGCGGTGGCACGGGATATTCTTCTCTCTTCCTTCCCCTTCTCTCCTATCTCCATTGACAGTGTGGCTGTGAGGGAAGCTTAGGTTCAGGCAGATCTGCTTTCAGGAAGAGGAGTACGAGTATACACATGCCTGGAAAGACATTGCAGTGTGGGCAGAAGAGCATTGCTGTGGGCATGGTGGTAGAAAAGCAGGCAGACGTGTGGGCAGACTCAGCTGTAAGGAGTCTGAGGCAGGAGGCTCAAAGGTTTCAGATCAGTGTGGGCTACAGGACAAGACCTTATCTCAACCACCCCTTCTCTAATAACTCCTTTTCTATCCTCCACTTCCCATCGTCCTAGGGATAGAACGTAGGGCCTTGTTCATTCAAGGTCCGTGCTGTGCTCTTGAACAAACAGTCTCAGTCTCCCTTCCTGACTCCAGGTCCTAAAGCAATTTACTGCTTAAATTAACGCGGTCCTTCCAATCTTGGTTCTTTTTTAACCTTAGCCCAAACTGCTCATCAAACATTGTATTGAATTTTCGTAGCACTACACGTTTTTCCTGTCATTTTGACGCTTTGGCCCAAAGGCAAGTGAGGCTTCTGAATAACTTGCAGAACGGTCAGGAATCTCTTGGTGTGGTTTTAACAGTCATTTTCAGTTGCCTGTGCTTAGCAAGATTTCACCAAATAGAAGGTTTTGAGGGGGCTCTTCCTCCTGTCATTCTGTCTCCCATGGTTGCTGACTTCTTTCAACTGCTGACTGCACTAAAAGCAGCCAGAATACAGTCTCATTCCCTCTGTCTAGCCTAGACAGGTCTCCTTACCTTTCTGCAGGCTCACATCTATTAACGTAGGGGCTGAATGTCTCTCATCCTTCTTTGATTCCCCTGGGTTTTTGTTGTTGTTTGTTTTGTTTCTTGCTTTTTCTTTTTAAAAACCAGGTGGAAAAGGCTGAGGATGTAGCTAGTTGGTAGAGCCCTTGCCTAGCATGCATGAAGACCTAGGTTCAGTCTCCAGCACCCCATAAACCAAGCATGGCACATTTCTGTAACTCCAGAACTCAGGTCAGAGAGAGTTCAAGGGGATCCATGGATACACATTGAGTTTGAGGCCAGCCTGGGCTACGTAAGTCCCCCGTCTCAACGCAAAAAGCAAATACAAAGGAGATAAGCATTTGTACCTGTCTGTGTGTACACTGTCCCGATCTTTTGCTTTTCTCATTAATGGGAATTTGGGGAAAGTTCTTTCAGTGACATCATGTTTACAACTGCCTAGTGTCCCACAGTTTAGATCGGAGTCATCCTCTTCCTTTCCTTGTTAAAGGACATACACTTTGTTTATAGTTTGTTTGAATAGTTGTGTTAATTTGGTCATTCTATTTTTAAGATCTGCCTTTTTATTTTTAAATTAATGTGTCTGTGTCTCTGTGTGTGCACATGTGTGCTCCCGTGTCTGAGGAGGCCAGAGGTGCCGGGTCGCTTGGGAACTGGAGTTCCAGACAGTTGTGGTGGGTGCTGGGACCAGGAGAAGAGCAGTCTGTGCACTTAGTCCTCACTGAGCCATTGCGCCACCCCAGTTACACTATTAACAGGCTTATATGTACCCTGGAATACTTAGACATTTCGTTTTGTTAAGACAGGGGTCTCATTCTATAGAATCAGCTACAGCTGAGCTACAGCTCAGGCTGCCCTGGAAATCAAAACAGGAAATCCTATCTCAACTTCCTGGATGCTAGGATTACAGATATTTACAGACATGTCCCACACCTGGCTTGGGCTTTTTTTTTTTTAATGTACCTTTAGGACTGTTTGTTCATTTTTTGAGACAGTCTCTACATAGCTCTAGCTGTTCTGGAACTCACTATTTAGACCAGGCTGGCCTCAAACTCGGAAAGATCCATCTACCTCTGCCTCTCATGTGGTAGGATTAGAGACACGTGATACCATACCTGGCTACTTTAGTTTTAACACATTGTCAGAACTTCTTCAAAACTGTTATCTTTGAAATACCACACACACACGCACACACACACACACACACACCCCACACCCTGTATGCTAAACAAGTACTTACCAACTGTTGAATGGATGCTTTGAGTCATAAATAAAACAGCAGTGAGGTTTAGGGAAGATTTTGTGTGCAGTGCAGGGATATTTTCCTTCCACACTTTTCCCTCAACCTCATGAGTAGAAAGCCAGGTGATCCTGGCAGCACACAAAAGACCTTCACTAGATCCCATCACACTCAGTTGACAAGGGTTTATAGAGACAACCTGTAGGGCTGAAACAAAAGAAAAGCATTCAAAGATGCATGTTGTTCCCCAAATCAGTCTGTCTTGTCTCCCCTCTCCTATTCTCCTCTCCTCTGAGAGACTGAGTCTCACACTGTAACCCACACTGGCCTTCAACTTGCAATCCTCTTGCCTCAGCTCCTGTGTACTCGTGTGTACCACCATTCCTGGCTTAGGAACTCATCCATTAATTTGACTAAGATTTCTGTAAAATAACATTTAGAGTATGAGCTATGCAAAAGAAAAGAAAATGTCTTCCAACATTGAGCTAGCACAGACAGGGCTGGGCAGGGTACTTGAGTCCCAAAAGCACATCTGAGGCCGACTTAGGATTCTGCAGAATCCTGTGCTGTCTCTCTTAGTTCTGAGTGACTGTACACAGCTGTGGGTGCCCCAGGGCCTCTGTCTCTCTGCACCTCATTTTAGATTCATGTAGTTGACCTGAGGCAGGCCGATCTCTGAGTTCAAGGCTAGCTTGACCTATAAAATGAGTCAAAGGACAGCCAAGACTCCACAGAGAAGCCCTGTCTCATAAAACAAAAAAACAAAACAAAATAAAAACAAAGAAAAAGGGAATTTCATATTGAATGCATGTCCTCATTGAATATCCCAGCCCTGAGCCTGCAGCCTCATTCTTTTCTCTTCTGCCCCCCACAGCATTCCCGTGGTTTGGTATGGATATTGGTGGAACCCTGGTTAAGCTGGTCTACTTTGAACCAAAGGATATCACGGCAGAAGAAGAACAGGAAGAAGTGGAGAACCTGAAGAGCATCCGGAAGTATCTGACTTCTAACACTGCCTATGGCAAAACTGGGATCCGAGACGTCCACCTGGAGCTGAAAAACCTGACCATGTGCGGGCGCAAAGGGAACCTGCACTTCATTCGCTTCCCCACCTGTGCCATGCACATGTTCATCCAGATGGGCAGCGAGAAGAACTTCTCCAGCCTCCACACCACCCTCTGTGCCACGGGAGGCGGGGCCTTCAAGTTTGAAGAGGACTTCAGAATGGTAGGTTGGGCTTACCCTCGTGAGACCAGCCAAGCCTCTCACGTGACCACAGTCTGGGCTGCTGAGATCTAGACCATTAACCTTGGGACTTGGACTTGTCTGTGCCGTGGTTTCCTCACCTATATGGTAACAAACATTTGACCTATTTCCTGTGGTTTCCTCACCCATATGATAAGAGATATCTGACCTGTTTCATAGTGTTGTTCCAGGAAAGGTTAAATGAGGAAATGTACCTGGCTCTTATTGACGTTATAAGATAATCTGTTATCTTCACTTCCAGGGCACAGGCTGGTCTTGAACTCACTATGTAGCCAACGATAACCCAAACTTCTGATTCTCTCACTGAGTCCTAGGGTTACATTTGTATGTTGCCAGGGTGATTTATATGGTGCTGGGACTGAACAGTTACTGCTGTATCTTATGTCACAATAAGATGATATCCATCACCTTCAGAGACAGTACGGGCTTTTCCGCAGACTCTTACTACATAGTCATGAGGCCAGTTCTATGGATATATAGACTAAGACCCACAGGAAAACTTTCTACACATCTAACTAAAAATGATTTACTTCTTTATACCCGTTTGCTCTCATGCATGTCTTAGTTTTGTGAGTGCCATTCAGAAGTTTCTCTTTTGGCTGGTCATCATGGTACACGCCTGTGACCCTAGCACTTGGGATGTAGAGGCTGAAGGACCAAGGCTAGCCACTCTAGCACAAAAACAAACAAACAAAAAACCCATACCGAAAGCATCCTCACTATTACTTATTGGTAAATTTCTTCATTATTGAACATCATTTTAAGGTCGACACAGGTATACAGTGCTTAGTATTAGATATGGAGAAGAAACATTCAGCCCAGGTTCTCTCTCTTTAGCATTCCCTTGGCATCTGCATTCTCACTTCTCCATCTCTTCAGTCAAGATACTAATCTCTCCACTGACTGACTTCATCTGTTGGGGTAAAGTAAGAATAAAATTAAGGGACAAATGTAGGTCTATCTTGGAAAGTACAGGCAGACATGTGCTTGAACATAGGTGAAGGAAAGGCTAGAAGATGTCAGGATTGATCATCTCACAGAGTTGGCGAGCCGGTGAGACTTGTTGTGGAATGCCACTTTCAAAGCCTGCAGCGCAGACACCTGCGTTTTCTCACAGAACAAGTGTAATCCAGTCTTGGTAGAAAAACCTGTGATTATTGCATAGCGAACGATCGTGTTGTTCATGGTGTTTAATAAAGCTGGAACATGCGAAGTTTGCCCGTCAAAAGGTACACCGTTTCCTTCACCAATTTCAGCGAGTAATATTCTGGGGATGGGTGCGATGCCACTGATAAAATCCAGGACCCAGGCTTGAGTGCGCGCTGTACAAACTGACCCTTCAGGGGGTACTTTCTGGAGGAGCTGGCTGCAGTCCTGCAGCAATAACCTGGCTAGGCTGATTAGCTCCAGGTTTTAACCATTTTCTTCTGTGTCACCCTTCCCTACACAGCTACAGACTTTGATACAACCATTTACTCAAATGATTCCGTAACCAGTTTTGAAATAAAAAACAGTTAAGGAGCACGGATGGGAGAAGTAAACTTTAGTCCTTAATGGGGTGGGTGAAACCTGAGTCCCAGTTCTGGTTCTGCATTTACCTGCTCGGTGACTTTTGCTGTTGTGTGTTCCTGCTGTGGGCCTCAGGTTTCATCATCAGCAAAACAGTAGCAGCAATGTGGGGAGAGGGGGAGGGGCATCCAGGACAAAAGAACGAAAAGTAATAATCGCATTCTTGCACTGTGTGAAGAAACCAAGGCTTGCAGGCCTTGAAGAGGCTTTCATATAGTAATGCCTGCTGGGTAAGATCTGGTCTTGGACTCCGTTTTAATTCAGAAGGAGAGCTGACTTTGTGTGGGAATGAGATAAGTTCCTTAAGCGTTCCTACCTTGTCTGTGCACGGGAGAGCCTGACGTGAACCAAGATGACCTGATAGATTTATGCAACCTCTGTCATCCCTCCATCCCTCCTCAGGGTTTGCTCATATCCTAGGAGGAAGGCTTACTCAATCTGTGTTGGCCATGAGCAAGTGCGTGTCCTACGGTTCTGAACTGAGAAAGGTCATATCATCCTTCAGGCGGTTGCCTGGAGCCTGATGACCAGACCAGAGGAGGGAGCATTTACTAAGTGGAGCATTTACTAAGTGGAGCATTTACTAAGTGGAGCATTTACTAAGCTCGTTGGTGTCCTTCTTTGTTTACTCTTTACTCCTTAGGAAGCCCACCACCCAGCTCCCAAGTAAATACACGGAGGCTTAGTATTACTTAGAAATGCTTGGCCTTATCTTGTTTCTAGCCAGCTTTTCATATCTTAAATTATCCTGTCTGCCCTTTCCCTCTGGGCTTTTATCTTTCTTACTTCTGTAAGTCTTACTTTCCTCCTTACTCTGAGCCTGGCTGTGTGACTGGCCCCTAATGCCCTTCTCTTGCTCCTCCTCCTTTCTTTCCGAAATTCTCCTATTTATTCTGTCTGCTTGCCGGCCCCACCTATCCTTTCTCCCGCCTTGCTATTGGCCGTTTAGTTCTTTATTGTTTCAGACAGACCATCACAGCTTCACAGAGTTAAACAAAGGTAGCATAAACAAAAGCAACACATCTTTACATCATTAAACACATGTTCCACAGCATAAAAAATGCAGCACACCTTAAAATAATATTGGCCAATCTGTTTCCATCCGTATTGGACTAACAGTTGTCTTCCATTTCTATGATAAGTCTTGGTCAACATGAAGACAGAGTTGAAAAGATTTCTTCCTGTGTCCTGTTTGAATAGATGATGTTCTTTTGTCCAAAGCTTGTGAGGATGGGTAGACTCTCCTGCCTTCTTTCTGTGTAGCCATTCATCCACTCAACACAGTTTATCGTGCGCCCCTTCTATGTGCTACACATCTCCTGACTACCTTGTGGTCAGCGATCAGGTAAGCAAGTGAATATGCAATGTATAAATATATAGATGTTTTATATGTTTAATACACATTTTATATGTTTATGTTTAATATACATTAAAATGTGTGTTTGTGTATGTGTGTGTGTGTGTGTGTGTGTATCATGAAGGAGAAATAGGCGCAAAGGAAGGATAGAGTGTATTGGGAGGGGTCCAAGATGTGATGAGGTAACATTGAAGCAAAAACCCTGAGAAGTAATAAATACCAGGCCATGCAGATATCTTAGGTAAGTGAATTAGTAAGTATTAATGCACATATGTGTCCAGAGTCCAAGCTCCTGGGTGTTGTACAATAGAAAGCTAAAGACTTAGGAAGGAAGGGTCACTATATAAGCTAGGGCAGGCGTTCTCAACCTAGTAGAGACCCCCGCAAGGGTCACATGTCAGATATCCTGCATATCAGATATTTACATTATGATTCATAACAGTAGCAAAATTACAGTTATGAAGTAGCAACAAAATAATTTATGGTTGGGGGGGTCACCACATCATAAGGAACTGGACTAAAAGGTCTCAGCATTAGAAAAGTTGAGAACCCTGTTCTAGGGGCTACATGGGTGTCTTACCAGTTAATCCTTCTTGCTATTCATTCATGAGGACCGGAATGTGGACCCAAGCGCGCGTGCATGCGCGCGCACACACACACACAAACACACAGATACATACGGAAATAAACTAAGAAAAGAATATATGCTACTCTCTGCATTAAACAGTTTGCCCAAGAACAAAGCACATGTGTGTAAAATGATGGTGTTGTGTAAAATGGCTGCTTTTGGAGTGTCAGAGCTCTTGAGTTATCAGACCCAAGCAGACGATCTTCAGCAAACTCTGAATCGTTTGCACTTGTTAGGTGTGAAGACTGCATCCCAGATATTTATAGCAAGTGCACTGACAGTTTTAGGAAGTGTTAGTTGTTCTGTCTTTCGTTTAGAAAGCCCAGAAGAGGCTGTAACTGATGAGACAGTCTTTAAATCAGCCTCTTCTCTAGGATATTTTTGATTGAGCAAAAGACTCTATTTCAGTTTTATTTCTGTTTCATAGAGTCTCTTTTCATTTCAATTAAATTTTTTTTTATTATTTTTTACCTCTCTTTTTATGTGTATGGGTATTTTGCCTATACGTATGTCTGTATACCGGTGTCTGAGGAGGCCAGAAGAAAGTGTCAGATCCTCTGGAACTTAAGTTACAGACAATTGTGAGCCGCTATGTGGGTGCTGGGCATCAAACTTGGGTCCTCTGGAAGAGCAGCCAATACTTTTAACCACTGAACCATTCCTCCAGCACCTATTGATTTTTTTTTTTATTTAACATTTAAGATCATGGTCCTGACAAAGCTTCTTACTTGACACAGGGTCTTACGGTGTAGCCCTAACTCCTAATCCTCCTGCCTCTGCCACCCAGGTGCTGGGATTGCAACATGCATCAATATTCCTGACTTCAAGTCAATTCATGATTGGTGTATATTTGTTTTCTAAATTAATGATGTAGCAAGCTGGAATGCAAAGCCTAGCCTAATATTAAATGGGGACCAGTGAGATAGCTCAGTGGGTAAAGATGCTTGCCAGCAAGCCTATAGCCTGAGTTCAGTCTGCAGAGCCCTAATGGTAGAAGGAGAGGACCAACTTTTGTAAGTTATCCTTTGATCTCCACACACACACTGTGGCACCCCCCAATAAATAAATCAGATTAATGATATGTGCTATATGGCACTGATGAGCCAATGAAGAATTCCATTATGTAAACATGACCACGTGATAAATTCTGGTTATTCATAACAACACGAAACAATGTAGATTACAGTTAGCTTTGTAGTAGAATGCTTTATCTGCTAATTCTAATATTTCATGCTCTGTCATGCTTCATACTTTACTTAACTTCAACAAGAGCATTAATACTGGAACGTATTTTATTTTTCTCCGAGACAAGGTTTTTTCTGTGAGTTCTAGACTAGCCTGGTCTACCGAGCAAGTTCTAGGACAGCCAGGGCAACACAGACAAACCCTCCCTTGGAAAAACAGACC